CTCCCCAGCTTTGCTGTGGACGGGGAAGGTTGGCGATGCGTCGGCGTTCCGTGTCTGGGGATCTCGGGCGTTTGTCCGCGACTTGTCTGCGGACAAGCTGTCCCCTCGTGCTGCTCCCTGTGTCTTCCTTGGCTTCCCCACAGACGCTCCCCGGTGGCAGTTTTACCACCCCTCCTCTCGTCGTGTTCTGTCCTCCCAGGACGTCACGTTCGACGAGTCAGTCCCCTTCTACCGCCTCTTCCCCTACCGCACTCCTTCCCTCCCCCCTCCGCCGGACTTCCTTGTGCCAGTTCCCCCCCCGGTAGACCCCCTCCCCCCTCAGGTTCCTGCCCCCTCAGGTGTGTCCCAGGTAGACGCAGTTGACCCGGTCGAGGTTACTGGTGACTCTGGTGCTGCTGCGGGTGCTGAGCCTGGGGGTGCTGACTCTGGGGGTGCTGTGCGCGGGGGTGCCGAGCCTGGAGGTGATGCTACTGGGGGTGCTGAGCCTGGGGGTGCTGGGCCTGGGAGTGCTACTGCGGAGGGTGCTGAGCCTGGGGGTGCTGAGCCGGGGGGTACGGTGCCTGGAGCTGCTGAGCTAGGGGGTGCTGGGTCTGGGGGTGCTGGGTCGGGAGCTGCTGAGCCTAGGGGTACTGAGGGTGGAGCTGGTGAGCCTGGGGGTGCTACGTCTGGGGCTGTTGAGCCTGGGGTTTCTCCTACTGCTGCGTCTCGCCGGGAGCCCCTCTCTCCACAGGAGCTGCGCGAGTGGTTTGCTCGCCGCTGGAGGCGTGCTGCTGGAGCTGGAGCTTCTTCGACCGTCGAGGGTGCTGGTGCTGCCGGTCCCGGAGCTGCTGGGTCTGCGGGTACTCCTGGAGCAGGAGCTTCTGAGGGTGTTGGTGCTGAGACTACTGCTGTCTGTCCCGGCGGTGGTTCTGCTACTGGTGCTGCTGGAGGTCCTGCCGCTGGAGGTGTTGGTGGCGCTGGTGCTGTCGCTGAGGGTGCTGGTGCTGTCCCTGCTGAGTCTGGAGCTGCCGCGCGGCCTCGACCGTACTTCGTTCCGCTCCTGCAGCAGGTTCTTGGTCTTTCTCCTCCGGTAGAGTGTTCACAGCCTGTCCAGTCACAGTCACTGTTGGAGCCTTCCTCTCCACTGCCTGCTCCGTCTCCTTACACTGGTCCTACTGGAGGTCTTGCTGAGCGTCGTGAGCCTGCGTCTCGTCCTGCGTCGCCTGTTCGTGCTGCTCGCACTAGTGGTCGCGGTTCGCGTCAGCGTCCTCCTCCTGTCCCTGGCACGCACCGGATGTCTCTGCGTCCGTCCACTGCTCCTCTGCGTGCCCCTTTGCCTTCTCCTCCTGAGTCCTCTCTTCCTGCCCTTGCCGACCCGGAGTCGGACTCTCTTCGTGCTGCCAGTCCTACTGTCACGCGTCTGCTTGCTACTGTCGTCACTGACCCCTCTTTTGAGTCCACTGCTGCGTCTGCTCTTGTCGCTGAGCTCGTCGACTTTAATGCTCGTTGTGGTCTAGACTACGCTGCTAGTCTTGTTGTTGAGTCTGCGTCTATCTGTCCTCCGTCCGTCGGGGGTGAGTGTGCTCTTGGCACGGACGTCCTAGAGGACAGGCAGGAGGAGTTACAGTGTCTGGCTGCTGCTTCACCTCATCTTGCGTCTGTACTGCTTGCTCCTGAGGGAGACCCGGATGCACTAGACATCCCGACTCCGCGCTCTTACGCGGAGGCCGTAGAGGGTCCCTACTCGTCTCAGTGGCAGGCAGCTATGGATGCAGAGATGGCTTCCTGGAAGTCCACAGGCACCTACGTTGACGCAGTTCCCCCTCCTGGGGCGAACATCGTCAGTGGCATGTGGATCTTCAGGGTGAAGCGGCCGCCGGGCTCTCCACCTGTCTTCAAGGCGCGGTACGTTGCTCGTGGCTTCAGTCAGCGGCAGGGAGTTGACTACTTTCAGACCTTCTCTCCCACCCCGAAGATGACCACTCTTCGGGTGCTGCTGCACATAGCCGCTCAGCGCGACTACGAGCTTCACTCTCTCGACTTCAGCACTGCGTTCCTGCAGGGTAGTCTGCACGAGGAGATCTGGCTGCGCCGTCCACCTGGCTTCACTGGGACTTTCCCTCCTGGCACCCAGTGGAGCCTCCGACGGCCAGTCTACGGTCTCCGCCAGGCACCGCGTGAGTGGCACGACACACTGAGGACTACGCTTGCGGCTCTTGGGTTTGCTCCTTCTACTGCTGACCCGTCGCTGTTTCTGCGCACCGACACTTCTCTGCCGCCGTTCTACATCCTCGTGTACGTCGACGACTTGGTCTTTGCCACAGCGGACACTGCTGGACTCGCCTACGTGAAGTCCGAGCTGCTGAAGAGACACACGTGCACAGACTTGGGTGAACTGCGCAGCTACCTTGGCTTGCAGATCACTCGGGACAGAGCACGCCGCACCATTACCTTGACTCAGTCACACATGGTGCAGCAGGTCCTTCAGCGCTTCGGCTTCACGTACTCCTCGCCTCAGGCCACTCCTTTGTCTACTCGCCACTCGCTCTCAGCTCTGCCTTCGGATGAGTCCGTAGAGTCGAGTGGCCCGTACCCAGAGCTTGTTGGCTGCCTCATGTACCTGATGACCTGCACACGGCCTGACCTTGCATACCCTCTGAGCATTCTTGCACGCTATGTTGCTCCTGGGAGACACCGACCAGAGCACATGGCTGCAGCGAAGAGGGTATTGCGCTACCTGTGCAGTACGTCAGGCATGGGGCTAGTGCTTGGAGGGCGGAGTCCATTGGTCCTTACAGGGCACGCAGACGCTTCTTGGGCTGACGACCAGACTACGCAGCGGTCGTCACAGGGTTACACCTTCAGTCTTGGTTCTGGCTCTGTCTCGTGGCGGGCTACTCGTTCGTCTTCGGTTCTCAGCTCCAGTTGTGAGGCTGAGATCTACGCCGGGGCCATGGCTGCACAGGAGCTTCGCTGGCTCACCTACCTGCTGACTGACCTTGGAGAGCCGCCTCGTTCTCCTCCAGTGCTGTACGTAGACAACAAGGCCATGCTGGCCTTGTGTCGAGAGCAGCGTCTGGAGCACAGAACGAAGCACATTGCTCTTCGCTACTTCCTTGCTCGTGAGCTACAGCAGCGTGGACAGTTGCGGCTTGCGTACGTGGCCTCTGAGGCCAACACTGCTGATGTGTTCACCAAGGCACTCGCGCCTTGTGACCATCAGCGCTTCTGCATCCAGCTGGGTCTTGTGCCTGTCTTGCCTCACTTGCTCTCCTCTTGACTTTACTTGTACTGTGACATATATATATACCTGCTCTTGCTTGTCTAGTTTTATATATATATATGTCTGTACTCCTGCATGTGAACTGGCCTCTGGCCCTGCTCGTGTGCTCGGACTGTGTGGTGACTTTGTGATCCACCCCGAGCTTGCTTTGCTTTGCTTTGCTTGACTGGTCTTGTGACCCCTTGTTCTCCCCCACTTTGCCTATGGGGGTGTGTCAGAACATATCTATAGCTTATACTATTGTGTAGGCTGTAGTGGGGTATCCCATAGGGGGTACAACCCAGTTAGGGTTTCATATTTGTACTGCCTTCATTCATAGTTCATCTCATCTCTGTTCACTTGTTTCACAGGATGCTTACCTGGCCTGCCGAGGTGTCTCGGATATCCACCACCTTTCTTAAAGGGGGGGGTAGTATAAGGAATTTCCTCGGATTCCTTACTGGGTCACACTGTACGCGTACAACCCCGGTTTTCGGAAAACCAGGCTCGGTCCGCCGACCTCGCCTCCGAGCCACCATCGCGTCGCCTTCGGGTTTTCCAACCCCGAACCTGCACCCAACCATCTCGCGACCCCGCGACTGCGGCCTAGCTAGGACTGCTATATTAGTGCTAGGCCTCGCCGTTTGCTCAGACGTTGTAATCACTTCCGCGTTATTGGATTCTGCGCACTCTTCTCTTTCACAACTCATATTAGGGAAAATATGCCACATGTAACGAACATGGGACCTGATAACGTGAATGGTAAAAAAAAAATGTACACGGTCACTGTATCGGGTTTCCTGACGGGTTTGGTAAGTGGGGCCACGGATTCAGTCACTAACAACAGGTAAAAAATCACGCGAATGGTCACACTTGTAACTCCCGCCAAAAAGTCTTGAAACTCGGCAATATTCCCGCTTGCGTCCAACCAATCAGCAAACTTCTGAAAAAAACTAAAACCCAATCGGAATTGGATGCGGTTTGGGAACGGATCAACCCTAAACACCTGGCGAATTGTGTTTAGGGTTGATTCATCCGAAATGCATCCAGGTTCGTTTTGGGTATTATCTTTTTTGGGCGGGAGTTTCATCTGTGACCATTCGCGTTATCAAACGCGTGAAAACACCCTGTCCAGTGACTGTACCCGTTTTGTTTTTACCCAACAAAGTTATCGAGACCCTTCTTGATTACGTGTGGCATATTTTCCCCTCGTAACATCCCGCCCAGGCGATACTAGCAACTTGCAGTCGAGTTATGTGATTCGAAATTTCTGTCAGTGTGGTGTGGTTTCAACACCATCAAGCTCGCTGAAATGCCCGCGCGGACGCTGCTCACGTGGGGTTTGTGTCCGGCGCGTCGCAGCGGATTGAACAGCTGGTGAGCCGCAGCCCTCGCGATACCAGCGGTGGCGCAAAGCGCAGCTCGCGGCGTCCGCTGGGGCAGCAGCGAGGCGCAGCAATCTCCATGCGCAGCGGCGCACGAGCACGGGCGCGGAGGAAACAGCAGCCGTTGAGGAAGCAGACCAGCATACGTAGGGCAAATCTTCACATCTTCGCAACTTCGCATCTGCGAATCTTCGAATCTTCGCATCCGCGCATCTTCGCATCCGCGCATCTTCGCATCCGCGCATCTTAAACAGCTGCCGCCAGTGACGGTTATTATTGGATACCCGCGCCACCTAAAGCGCTCACCGCGGTTAGTCCAGCAGCCACAGCTGCAGACGAGGAGGCTAAGAGCGAAGGCGTCGACGACGGCGAGCATGGCGGGGCGAGGGGCAGGCGCAGGAGCGGGAGCAAGGGGGACAGGGGGGACAGGGGGGGCGGCGGGGATGGGGGGAACGGGGGGAACGGGGGGAGCGGGCATTAACATAGCGGCGGCGACGGCGGCAGTGGAGGTGGATAACAACCTGCCCGTCACGCGCTACTTCCGCCTCGCACACAACCTCAAACGCGCGGTCTGTCGCTCGCCCCCTCGCTTCTTGCAATCCCCTCCCCTCCCATCCCCTTCCGCTCGTCCTCGTCTCTACTTCCCCTTCCCCTCTTCTGCCTTTTTTTCCCCTCTCCTTCTTCCCCTTTTCCCTTCTCATCCCCCTTCTCCTCTCCCCGCTTATCCACGCCTCTTTTCCTTCCTCTCAACCCGCTTCCGTTTCGTTAACTCACCTGCTGGCTGCTCTGTTCTCCCCCGTCCTCTTCTGCTTCCTTGTCGCCCCTGCTTTCCGTATTCTTCTCTCCTCTCCGTCTCGCCTCCACACGCGTCGTGGCCTCACTCCGCTCTCCCGCCCTTTCTTGCTCTCTCCTGCCCTCCTCTGCCCTCTCCTGCCCTCCCCTGCCCTCTCCTGACCTCTCCTGCCCTCTCCTGCCCTCTCCTGCCCTCTCCTGCCCTCTCCTGCCCTCTCCTGCCCTCTCCTGCCCTCGCCTGCACCATCGAGCCCTGTGTGTGCCTGTGCACCGGCCACCCCCAGGCAGACGTGTATCGCTGCGAGGGAAACACGGTGCAGCTCTATGTCTTCCTCCTGCGATTCGTCAGGTGCGATGCGTCACGTGCATGCATGGCACCAGCTCGCACTGCACTGCACTGCACTGCACTTTGACAGCGCACTCACATAGCTTGTACAACCACGTCTGCGCCTTCCCTTGCTCTGCTGCGCGCCCTGCTGCTGTGCGCCCGCCAGGCTTCCTTCCTTAATGCCATCCTTCCGCTACCTGCTCTTCCTCGGCCCCACACCACACCATGCACCTCATGTTGCCTCTCAACTGCACTCCCCCCTCTTCAACTTCCCCTCTCCCTTGCCCTGCCCCCCCACCATGGCAGCATGGTGCTGTCAACCATGCCGCAGCATCGCGACGCCAGGGCGTCCCAGCATGCCAAAGAGATTGCCACGCTCAACAAGGTCGCCCTGCTGCTCTCCTCTCCTCTCCTCTCCCCTTTGCTGCTCTCCTACTCCCTTCCTCTTCCTCTTCCTTTTCTTACATGCGCTCCTGTCTCCACCACTCGTGTTTGTTCCCATGCTGCGGCGCGCATGCCTTATCCCTCACCGTACTCGGCTCCTCCTTGCTCCAGTCTGCTCCTGCCCTGCCCACACCCAACAAATCCCAGCCTACTCTGCTGTGCCACCTCTCTCCCATCTTCTCTCGTCAACTATCCTCCCCTCTCCCCGGTCCCAACCCTCCCCCCCCCCCCTCCCCCCCCTCTCTCAATCCCCTTTCTATCCCCTCTTGTCTCCCCCCTCTTTCCCCCTCCCCTTCCTTCGTGCCCCCCTGTCCCTCGGGCAGCAAGCGATGGCAGCACTGGTGGAGTGCGAGCAGCTGAAGCCACAGGTGTCACGCCTGCTGCACGCGGGCAGGGGCGGCCAAGACGACGACGACGACGCACAGTCCGACGCGGACAGGGACGCGGCTGTGCGCGCAGCAGCGGAGGAGGGCGCTGTGCCTGTCTACTACCCCGCCTCGTCTTCCACGGGCCTGCCCTCTGCTGCTCCGTCCCAAGCAGCCGTGGCAGCAGCCGCCACGGCTGACTTGTTTGCTGGAGCGTGGTGGACTGGCGGGGGAGCAGCAGCAGGAGCAGGAGTAGCGGCAGCAGCAGTGGACCCCATGGAGGCGTGGAGCCAGTCCGTGGTGAGTGCGATTCTCTACTCCGGCCGAATTGCACTGAGGCTCTCACAAATCGATTGTGTGGTGCGCAGTGCACACGTGCATGCGCGCACACACACAGACACATGCCGGGCGGGCGGCCAAGAATATGTCTTTCTGGTTGGGAAAAGCTTTGCCATTGTTCACCTCACAGCCCACTCACACCGCCTCACCTCCTATGCCGCATATTTTGCGACACAATATACCTTCCTTCCCCCTTCCTTCAACCCCTGTGCCCCCATCGTCCCCTCTCTTCCTCCGTACACCCCGCTCCCTCCACATTCCATGCAGGGCCTGTCTGCATCGGAGCAGCAGCGCCTGCTCACAGCCCCCACCCCCTCCGCACCCCCCCTGGACCTGGACCTGCTCTCTGGTGTCTCCTCGCTCTCTCTCGCCCCTCAACGCTCCACCTACTCCCCCGTTCCTTATTCCGCCGCTCCTTATTCCCCTGCTACTTATTCTCCCGCTCCTTATTCCGCCGCTTCCTCCGCCACTCAGCATGGCAGGTAGGTCGCCTTCGTTTCTCTCTCATTCGCGTGCTTCTATATGGTTCGCTGCACCTGCCGTTGCTGCACCTGCTGCTCTTGGTATTGCTGCTGCTGCTGCTTCCTCCGCTGCCATTCACTTCCATGTCACAGCACCCATATGACCTGCACCCATGACCCTGCACCCATGCTGCTCTATCTACCCTTGCCCATCTCATGAACCTGTCCGTTCTTTCTCCCCTCTACCCGTCGCGCTCTGCCCGTTGCTCTCTGCACGTTGCCCTCTGCCCGTTGCCCTCTGCCCCGTGTGCATGTGCAGCCAGCAGCACTACAGTCTACCAGCGCCTCGCACAGAGACCCTCTCACGCCACTCCCTCGTCTCCATGCCCGCACCCCATGTGCCCTCGCACCTGCCATCGCAGCCCCACCAATACCACCACGCGCCATCCTCGCATGTACAGTTTTCCACATCCTTTCTTGATCACATCTCGGATGCCGCTCGCTGCTTACCATGCGATGTGCCGCCCATGAGCCCACCCTCTTCGTCTTATTTCCAACACAATCCAGTACTTCCACTTTCTGCCCTGTCCCCTCACCTCGTCTCCCCTCCACTCCACTCCACCATCTCCCCGTGCCCGTGTACTCTCTCTCGCTGCGTGCATGCAGGTGGCCTATCCCACCCACATCGACTCATCGCCCATTCAGCTGCCAGAGTACGTACGAGCCACTGCCCTCTATCTAGTATCTACCCAGTTCTCGCATGTACCCCATTGCCCCATCGCGCCTTCCAGCCTCCTGCTTCCTGTACTTCACTCACTCCAATATCGCTTTCAACCCAACTCCCCCCCACCATGCTCGCCTTGCGCTCCTCTTTCCGCACACTTTTTCTCCACCCACGCATATCCACGCCTAACCGCACACCACCCCTCCTACACCCCGTCCACCGCAGGTGGTTACCACCTGTCACCTCCCAACAATCAGAGCAGCAGCAGAAGGCAGGGGAGGAGGGCGGAAGCAGCAGCAGCAGCGGTGGTGGGTATGACGGGCAGCAGATGGTGACTCTCATCATGCCCTCCGTTGCTGCTTCCACCGCTCCCTCTTCCGCATCTCTCCCCACAGCGTCTCCCATTCAGCCGCGCAGCATTCTCAAGCACGGCACTGCGTACCGTGCCGAGCAGGCAGCTGCACAGGCCGCCTCTGCTGCTGCAGCGGCCGCAGGGGGAGGAGGGGCATACGGTGGGCAATACGGAGGGCAGTACGGTGGGCAGTACGAAGGGGAATACGGAGGGGCAGCAGGGGCGGTGAGCCAGGCAGCAACAGGAGGATATGGGTATGAGGGTGCTGGGAACCTGGGTCTGCCTGTGGCGGCGCCCCTGCACCAGCCGTACCCCCCTCCCATGGAGGCCCCCTTGCAAGTGCTGCCGCAGTTGCACCCGCCCCTTGCCATCCAACAAGCACCAGCGCACGGGCATGGGCATGGGCATGGGCATGGGGGGCAGATGGAGCAGCGGCAGCCGCACCCGTCTGATGTGGCGGATCCCAGGCCTGGGAAGGGCGGAGGGAAAAAGGGCATCAAGGGAGTGCACATTGTGAGTCGCACACCCACCTCGTGCCACCCACCTCGTGCCACTCACCTCGTGCCACCCACCTCATGCCACTCCTGACACACCCATTTCACTCGTTCCATCAGTCGCCTGCCGCCGTAGCATGGCAAGCATTCTGTGGGGCTGTAAGTCCGAGCTCAGTGGGAGTGGACCGCGTCTGTCACCTTGTTTTAGGTATCACGGCACACTGGCATCACGTTGAGTTAGATCAACACAACAGCGAAGAGCGTGTGCCGGCCACCAGCTGCTTTGATTCAGGTCAACCTCATTGCATCTCTGCTGACCTCATCCCTTCCACCTCCTCCTCCACGTCCTCCCACGCTCTCCCCCTCTCCTCCAACTTCCCCCGACTCCGCGCATGATGGACGATTTCATGCGCAAAGTGCGCCACAACACCTCCTCGCCTCATCCCCCCCGTGTATGCCCACCCCCTCTCTCCCTTCCCCCTCCCCTCCCCTCCCCTCGCCTCCCCTCCCCTCCCTACATGCCACTATGATGCGGCGGTCATTGCCAGTGCTACAATTTCATTAAACAAGTAATTGGGAAATTGCTTCCCTCTCGATGGATAAGATTCGGTTTGCTCTTGTGGCCATGGGTGCCTTGGCGCCTTCACTTTCTTTGTTATAAGTCCACGCACTATGAGATAACCTCCTCACCACCAAGTGTCATGGGTTCCCAGCACAATCCTAACGAGCTGATGGGTGATGAGGAGCTTGACCCTCGTTCCGGTGGAATCCTTTCTTCGCCGAGGAAGCGGTCATGCATGTGGTCTCAGCACCTCCCCCTGCCAAGCGAGTCAGTGCTGCCGCGGCATCCAGCTCGACGCCTATGGCTCCCCCTGCGGCCCCGGTGGTGCCGCCTGTCGCTCCGGTGATTGTTCCCGTGGCCGGTCCTTCTATGGCAACTCCACCACCTTCAACGTCTACCCAGGAAGTAAACCCTGCTCCTTCCCTCGCTATCACCGGTTGGTACTTGCGTCTTCGTCGCAATCGTGACACTGTGGGAGTCGTTGTCGCGGCACTGGTTCGTGACACTGAAGCTGTTGTCATCATCATGTTCCTTGAATCCTTGGGCGGCCATTGCCAAGGTGGCGGAGCTTCCGTAGAAGGACCGGCCACGAGAGCCATCACCGGATCGACAGGCGGCACCACCGGGGCCGCAGGGGGAGCCATAGGCGTCGAGATGGATGCCGGGGCAGCACAGACTCGCTTGGCAGGGGGAGGAGCTGAGACCACAGGCGTGACCGCTTCCTCGGCGAAGAAGGATTCCACCGGAACGAGGGTCAAGCTCCTTATCACCCATCAGCTCGTCAGGATTGCGCTGAGAACCCATGACGCTTGGTGGTGAGGAGGTTATCTCATAGTACATGGATTTATAGCAAAGAAAAGGAATGCGCCAAGGCACCCATGGCCACAAGAGCAAACCAAATCGCATTCATCAAGAAGAAATCAATTTGCCCTCCCCTCCCTCCCCTTGCAGTCAACGCGCATGAGGGACGATATTATGCGCATAGTGCGCCACAACACTTCCTCCCCCCATCCCCTCCGTGTATGCCCAACCCCCTCCCTCCCCTCCCCCTCTTATCCCCCCATTCCCCCATGCGGGCAGTCAACGCGCATGATGGACGATTTCATGCGCATAGTGCGCCACAACACCTCCCGCAACCTCGAGACCTGCGCCGTGCTCGGAGGCGTGCTTGTACGCCTGCCCCTCCCCGCCCCCTCCCTCCTCGCATCTTCTCTTCTCCTTCCCTCTCTCCCTGTCGCACTGCTCTGCTCTCCAATCCAATCTCTCTTCTGCTCTCGCTCTACCTCGTCATCTTTGCATGTGCCAGCATGCGTCCTTTTCCCCATGGCTTACAGCATTGTTCGCATCGCTGCCCGCATCACCACTTGGCCCCTGCCCGCGTGGGTGCCTTGGTTGCGTGCCTTGGTTGCTCTTTGCGCATGCTTGCCTGTGGGACTTTGGCATGTAGACGACGCATGCATTCTCCTTTGCGCATACGTCTTGTTTTTTTGGGGAAAGGGAGGGTGTTCTTTCTTGCACACCTGCACTTACTGCACCGGCCTGCAACCACATGCCCGTGCATGCGCACTTATAACCATAACCATGCGTGCATGCATCCAAGCAACCCCTTCTCCTTCCCCTCCCTTTCCCTTTCCCCCCCTGCATGCAGAAGAAGGGCCTGTTTTTCATCAAGGCGCTCATCCTGCCCAAGCAGGAGTCCACCTCTGACTCCGTGCGTGCCCCTCCCTCCCTCTCGCCGCCTCCCCCTCCCTCCTTCTCGCCGCCTCCCCCTCCCACCCAGCCTCCTGCCCTCCCTCCCTCCCTCCCTCCCTCCCTCCCTCCCTCCCCTCCTCCCACGCCTATGCTTTTTATCTCTTCCCCCGCACGTTGCATTCTCGTCCAATGCCCCACTTCCCTGCTATGCCCGTTCACACTCATTCAATTTCACGCACGTCACCCTCTCATCTCTTCCCCTGCCATCCTCTCATTCGCAATTCCTTCCCCTGGCCTTCTCATCTTCCCCTTCACCGGCGCGCCTGCCGGGGCAGTGTTCCACGTTGAACGAGGAGGAGATATTTGAGGCGCAGGACAAGCGAGGGCTCTTCCAGCTCGGCTGGATCCATGTCAGTGCCGCCGCCGCCGCTGCTTCTCGCCTTGCTCCACCACCATCCCCTTGCTCTATTCCCTGTTCCTCTCACTTTCCCCTCCCTCTTCCGCTCTCGTTCCTTCCATCTCCCCACCTCCGTCACTCTGCCACACCTTTGTTAATACATCCCATGTCTGCTCCCACCATATACTTCCCGCCCCTGCCTCACATCAGACGCACCCCTCACAGGCGTGTTTCATGTCATCCATCGACCTGCACACACACTACTCCTACCAGGTCACTCGCCTCTCTGCAAGCGCATGCCACTGCTCTCCTCTTCAAACCCTCCATTCGTTCCTTCATTCTGCTGTGCTTGCAGCGCTTCCATTTTGTTCTTTCCTTGTCATTCGTCGCAATGTTCCATTTCGTTCCTGCCATACATTGTGATGGATGGTTTATCCCCATTTCCGTCCGATCCTGCCACCCACCTTTTTCCAGATGCCACTCCTCTCAGCTTGACCTATCACCCCCTCCACTCCTCCCCTCGCCCTCTCCCCTCATATCTCTACTCGCCTGTCCTCTCTCCTGCCCTTCCCCCTCCCCCCCCCCCCCCCCACCCCTCCTCTCTGCTCTACATCAGGTGATGCTCCCGGAAGCCATTGCCATAGTCATGGCTCCCAAAGACCCATCCCGGTATGCCCTCCCTGCTGCTCTCGCCCACCCCACATCGGCACTAAGCCTGAGAGCCATTGTGTTCTCGCCCCTCCCGCGCTGGCAGGCTTCCATCAGATCACAACAACGCACTTGCACGTGCCTATCCCCGTCTGCCTGTCCAACTAGTCCGCTCTGTCAACTATTCTCTTCCTCTTTCCCACCTTTCTCCCGCATGCTCTCGTCCACTCCTCACCTACACCCACATGTATGGCACCTAACGCCCTGCTGCTGCAGTCGCCCACACCTCTCAAACTCCCAACTCCATCAACCAATCTGCACTCCCATTTCCATCCCTCCCTACCATCCCCTTCTAACGCCCCCATCTTCCCAACCCCTCTCCCCCCACCTCCTCCCCCTTCCACAGCCCATTCGGCATATTCCAGCTGTCGCAGCCAGGGGGAGTGAAGGTGATACAGAACTGCCAGCAGAGGGGCTTCCACACACACGAGGCACCGGCAGATGGCACTCCGCTCTACTCCCACTCCTCCCATGTCTTCTTCAACCCCCGCATTGACTACGAGGTGCTCGACCTGCGCTGACACGCCTGCTCACTGCACTGCACCGCACTGGGCTGCGCCCGACGCGCGCACTGCCCTGCTGCTGCGCCTGCTCACTGTTTCTATGGCTGGTTAGCTGGGGGGTATTTTTGGGGTGTGGGCTGCGACAGCAGCATGCGAGCAGCATGCAAGGGGGCATTCAGTGGGGGGAGAGCATGGTCTGGGCGGCGGGGAAGGAAGGCCTGCTTGCAGAGGTGGTGCAGTGTGTGAAGGGAGGCAGGCAGTCCGGGTGCAGGGAGGATGGGTAAAGGCTGCGTAGCAATGTGAGCATGAGTGGCGGGACTTTTAGAGGCTAGAGCATGCTTGGCTTGAGTGGTTGGTCTGATGCATACCAGTTGAAAGTAGCTACTAGGTAGTAGTGTTAATTAATGGACTGGTCGTTGCTGTATGTAGTTGATTTTACAATGCATAGACGTTTATTATTTTGCCAACTGAGTGAACACGGTACAAGACAGTTACCACTGAATGCCCCTTACTGGTGCAGTGCAGGCGCCCACCCACCCCTCCTACCGCAGAAGCATCTTCTGCATATCCTCACACCGGTATGTCTCCCCAACCCCCCATCACCCCCCCCCATCCCCCACCCCCCACCCCCCATCCCCCACCCCCCACCCCCCATCCCCCATCCCCCATCCCTCACCGCTCATCTCTCACCCCTTATCACCTGCGTGTCCTCACACCGGTACGTCTCATGCAGGCTATCCCATGCCACCGCCCTCACCCAAACCCGCTCCTGCAGCACCTTGAGGAGGAACTCTGCCAGGGCCTGCCTGCCGGTTGCACCCGTGAGTCATGCGGGCAGAGGAGTGCAGGGAGCACAGCACCGTGACGCCTCACCCAAACCCGCTCTGTCATCTCCTTGAGGAGGAACTCTAGCAGCGCCTGTCGGTTGCACACACCCATGAGCCATGTGGACAGAGGAGTGCAGGGAGCGCAGCACCGTGACGCCCCAGGCTCAACCCCCCAACCCAAACCTTCGCACCCCCAGGCCCCCCTTCTTCCTCCCTCCTACCGCGGTGTGAGGTGCATCACCTGCACGTCCTCATCTCACACCGGTACGTCTGCACGCAACAACCAATCCCCAATGCCGCCGCCTTCCGCATTCCTCATCCTCCACCCCTCCGAGGCCCCCATGATCTCTCCTACCGCGGTGTGAGGAGCATCACCTGCACGTCCTCACACCGGTACGTCTCATCCAGGTCCTCCCACGCCACTGCCTTCACCTGAAACCGCTCCCCCGCCAGCCTGAGGAACTCGGGCAGCGCCTGGCGGTTGCGGCCGTGGGCAAGGAGCACGGAGGAGTGCGGGGCGCAGAGCATGGCGAGCGTGGCCACCAGGGGCGCCACTGCTCCGTGGTCATACACCACGTCTGTTGCCACTATTAGGTCGAACGTTGGCGGGTGAGAGGAGGGATTGGGGGGGGTTGCTGGTGTGGTGGGGGTGGCAGTGGTGGGGGTGGCAGTGTTGGTGTGGAGTAGTGTGTTGGGAGAAATGGGGGATGAATCCGGACAGGAGATGGCCGCATCATGGGATGTGGAGCAGGGAGAGGGGGATGAGGACGAGGCGACAGCAGCAGGTACAGAGAGTGCGAAAGCATCCTGGGTGTTCCCCCAGCGCAGGGCGTGCACGTGCACGGTGTGGTGCAGTGCGTTAGCCTGCACGTTGCGGTGCAGCAGCGGCAGGTTGCCTGGCATGTCCGTCACCACCACTGCCCGTGCCCCCAGCACTGCCAGCGTTATGCCTGGGGGAAGTGGGGGGGGGGGGGGTTGGGTGGGGAGAGGGGAGTTGTAGTGAGGGAAGAGAGGGGGTGCGGGGAAAGGGGAAAAGGGATGGGAGGCGGAAGAAGGGTGCGACGTGGCTAATTCAGAAACACCACATTCACAGCCGTCGCAAGGGAGAGTGCGGTGCGCGCATGATGTGGCAGCAGCCAAGCGCACGCCATGTGTGCACTATGCAGTGCAGGGCAGGGCAGGGCAGTGCAGGGCAGGGCAGGGCAGGGCAGGGCAGGGCAGGGCAGGGCAGGGCAGGGCAGGGCAGGGCAGGGCAGGGCAGGGCAGGGCAGGGCAGGGCAGGGCAGGGCAGGGCAGGGCAGGGCAGGGCAGGGCAGGGCAGGGCAGGGCAGGGCAGGGCAGGGCAGGGCAGGGCAGGGCAGGGCAGGGCAGGGCAGGGCAGGGCAGGGCAGGGCAGGGCAGGGCAGGGCAGGGCAGGGCAGGGCAGGGCAGGGCAGGGCAGGGCAGGGCAGGGCAGGGCAGGGCAGGGCAGGGCAGGGCAGGGCAGGGCAGGGCAGGGCAGGGCAGGGCAGGGCAGGGCAGGGCAGGGCAGGGCAGGGCAGGGCAGGGCAGGGCAGGGCAGGGCAGGGCAGGGCAGGGCAGGGCAGGGCAGTGCAGAACGCGTGTGACATACCGAGCAGGCCGCAGCCAGCACCGAGTTCGATGCACGTCTTGCCGTGCACCAGGTGAGCGTGGCGCTCCAGGAACTTGCCCGCCACTATAGAGCTGTCCCACACTGCCGCAGCCGCACGCACAGGGCAGCACGGCACGCACGGGCGCAGGCAGAGGGGCGGGCGAGGGGAGGGCAGGGGGGAGGGCAGGTGAGCGTGGCGCTCCAGGAACTTGCCCACCACTATAGAGCTGTCCCACACTGCCGCAGCCGCATGCACATGGGGCAGAAGGATCTGGCACGGCGGAGAGCAACGGGGTTGGGTAGGCGGGCGGGCAGGAGGGCGGGCAGGGGACGCCGGTAGGGGAGACGGGCAGGGGACAGAAACGGTGAGGGAAGAGAGGAGGTGCAGGGGAGAATCTGCACAGGTGGGGAGGGGACATGCAAACTCGCCTTTGCTCACCTGTTGTCCCCTTCTCAGCAATGTTCTACACACGACCACTTCTCCCAACACCTGCCCTGCCCCCAAGCTTCCGCACCCACCTTCTCCCCCCCCTTCACCCGCCCTTGCCCACTCTACCTTTCCCCCTACCCCCTGGCACCTTCCCCCTGACCACACTGCGCGCACCAGTGGACGCGAATCCCAGCGGTCCGAAGCGCTGCTGCGCAATCGTCACCACGCGCGCCTGCTCGCACACGCATGGGCGAGACGCAGCTGCGTCGGGGGAGGCGGCCTGCGGCGCGGCGTGGGGCTGCGCGCGCTGCGGTTGTGCGGACGTCTGCGAGGATGGCAGCGCGTCGCAGCGCGCGGGGTGCAGCGCGCAGAAGGGACGCGCGATGGTGTGCTGGTATGGGCGGTCGAAGCGGTCGACGTCAGGCCTGCGCGCAGACCGGGGGGGCGAGGGGGCGAGGGGACGGGGGGTCGAGGGGGCGACGAGAGAAGGGGGCGCGGGGGCGAGAAGGGGGGGAAAATACGGGGATGCGATGGGAGAAGCACGGGGAGAAGCACGGGGAGAAGCACGGGGAGAAGCACGGGGAGAATGCTGAAAGAGTCAGGGTTGTGAGTGACTGGATGAGCGCGATTACTGCGTCATTCCATCTCCCCGCACAAACCGCTACCCTGCCACCCCGCCATCCCGCCATCCCGCCATCCCGCCACCCCCCCATCCCGACATCCCGTCATTCCATGGTCGCATCGTTTGTGCACCCACCAACAGCTTCTGTCGCGTATCGCGTACTATTCCCTCATCGGTCCGCCCCAACTCACTTGCCCTCGCGCTTCCACACCCACGACCGCAGGAACTGAGACACGTCCGACCGCCCCGCCCCGCTCCCCTCCGCGCCCCCCTCATTCCGCGCCCGCCCTTCCCCCGCCGCATGCCCTGCACCGCGCAATCGCTTCCTGACGCTTCCGCCCTCCGCATCCGCATCCCCTACCCGCGCGGTTCTTCCGCCGTCGTGCGCCCGCTCCGCCTCTCCCCCGACCGCATCAAGCCTACCCGCTCCCCCGTTCACAGGCGCGACTCCCTTGCGACCTGCGCCGCCGTGCGACCCTACCGCCGGCGAAGCGCCATCGCTTGAGGGTACGCGACGTCGCCTGGCCGTGCGACTGTTGCGCGACGGAGTGCGACGGGCGTCAGGAGGAAGGGCAACGGCAGGCGGAGGCATTGGAAGCGATGGTTCAGTGTGATGGGCTGGAGTGTAGAGGTTTAGGAGGACGTGGGGGAGGGGTCTTGATATACGCAGGGGCGAGATGTTGGGTCGGGTTGGGTGAGAGTGGTGGAAAGAGGCGCGTTCGGGGTGTGCATTTGCACTAATACGGTATGTAAGTAGTTTTGAGACATCTCTAATGAATTTTCTCTACATTCCTTAGCGCACCCTGCAACATCGCGTATAGCAGCAGCCGTTGTTCGCCCGTTACTGCTAACGGGGCTGTCAAACTACCGTATACTCCCGGACAAAACACCCCCCCATAATTGTACACCCCCGGGTAGCTTGTGCGGGGTGGGTGTTATGATAGACCTCGTTTCTACTATACCCCCCTTTTTGCCTGATTTTCTATAACACCCCACTTTTCTTACGGATTCATTATTATAGTCGTTAATGAGTAGCTGCAATACGGAAGAATGTCGTGTGAATTTCTCCCTCAATGAAATTTCGCGGTACATTCAAAGGCAATCTGCCGAGATTTGCCCCCTCCCACTATTTCTCTGTTGCCACGTGCAGGTGAATCTTCCGTTGCAAGTGGCAAGAGAGGTGTCACATGGCATTTTCGTGAGGGCGATGAAGTTCGAGGCCGAAACTGACATTCGCGCCTCAGGCAGTGATGCTAAAACGACCAGCAAAACACCCACATTGACTAATTAAAAAAACACTAACACTAAAATATGCCATATGAAAAGACCCGGGTATTATGTATTTTTTTCCTATGAGGAGACCCCCCCATTTTTTCCCTGTATTTTTAGCTATACCCTAGGGTGTTATGTCCAGGAGAATACGGTATATGTTTATTGTTAGTTAGGCTGTATTGGGGCTAGCTTTAGGGGGTACATAATTTCTCTCGACATTCTAGCCTTGTACCCCCATCTTGACCGAATCCACTCATTCTTGCCTAATGTTCTTAACATGGTAACTAGAGCAATAGGTCCTTAGTGATGGGCTGAAACGCCCTAGGATCTTTGTAGAGTTAAAGTTTGAGTAGATGTTGTAATAGCGGAAGCGTTGAATAGAGCTCTTGAACCACCTTGCGCTAGTATGTGAGGGCAAAGTAAGTTGATAAAAGCAAAGAGATACAAGAATATAAATAGATGAGTACAGAGAATATGAAGAGACATTATAACTAATTTTACTGTTGCGGTTCGATACAGTGCGACTCGGGCAACTGCTCAATGTCGAGTCAGTTGTTTGTCCTTGCTGTCGCGCTGCGTCAGGTCAAAGGTCGCTGCCCTTTGACTTTCCCGTAACCTCCGACGGTTACGTTAACCTCGTTGGTTGACTCGCGCTGCTTCGACTTGAGCTGCTTCGTTTTGTGTCTTGAGTACTGACACGACAGAGGCGCTTAACTTATTTGTTCCCAACACTCCCCTTCGCTACTGGAGTGTCGCTTATGGTGACGTGGCTTTGTCCAGTCAGCAGCATGCAGTACTCGAACTTCTGTTTTCCAAGTTTCTTGGTCAAGTAGTCGGCTGCCATCTCGGACGTGGGACAGTAGGATAGATCGAGTTTCCCTTTCTCGATTTCGTCTTTCACGAAGAAGTATCGCAGGGCGATATGCTTCGTTCTGTTCGCGAATCCGCTTTTGTTGGCGATGCGAATTGCGGATTGGTTGTCGCAGAACAAGGTGAAGTTGGGTAACTCGGCTAACTTTGCTTCTTCCAGCAGCTCGCGAAGGTAGAGTCCTTCCTTGGTGGCTGAGCAAAGGGCGATATATTCTGCTTCAGCTGAGGAGAGCGCAATTAGTTCCTGCTTGCTCGATTGCCAGGAAATAGGTCCGATATGTTCTAGGCGATAGATGTAGCCAGTGCGAGAGCGCCTGTTATCTGAGTCGCCGGCGTGATCGGCATCGACATAGCCGATTAGTTTCGTCGGCGTAGTTGTGTCTTTGTGGTACGTCAGGCCGATCGTTGCGGTGCTCACGAAGTAGTGAAGAGCACGGTCGAGTTCTGCTAGGTGTTCTGCTTCGGGCCTCTTGAGATAGGTAGCGAGTTGGCTAGCGGAGTAGGACAGGTCTGGGCGGCAGGTGACGGCTGCGAAGAGCAGACAGCCCAGTTTTCGCTGGTAGTCGCGTATTCCGGCGGTCTTAAGTAGGACGGAGCTTCCTTTGCCGTTTCCTGCCGTGTAGCGGTATGGCGTGTGGATAGTAGCAGGTGTGAGTGCGAACCGTTTGGCGATGGTGTAGGCGTACTTCTCGGCGCTGAGATAGATCGCATTTTCTTCTTCGCGAATGTTGAGCCCGAGATACTGAGTGACAGTAGTGGAGACCGTGAGTGTGAGGTCCTTTTTCAGCTCCCCTTCGAACCAGGTAGCGATGTCGTCGGTAGAGCCGATGTAGAGTAGATCGTCGACGTAGACAATGAGCAGGATGTAGTTGGCGCCTTTGGTGAGTCGATACATGCCTTGATCGTGAGGTAGTTGACGGAATCCGATGCGGATGAGGCGGGTGTGTAGGTGCTGTTGCCACAGTCGTGGGGCCTGTTTGATACCGTAAAGCGATTTTAGTAGTTGACAGACCTGATTGGGTTCCCCGTGAGTACCGTGCGGGAGCTCGACGAAGATTTCGGCGTCGACGGGTGCGTAGAGGAAAGCGTTAGCGACATCGATTTGTCGCAGTTTCTTCTTCTTCATGGCGGCGATCGCAAGGAGGATTCGGAGAGAGGTGTGTCGGCTGACCGGGGCGAATGTCTCGGTGAAGTCCCGGCCTTGTTCCTGATCAAATCCTCGCACGACCCATCGTGCCTTGAACTTCTTGATTGTGCCATCTGCTTTCGTTTTGATGCGGAAGACCCACTTCCCGGTAAGGATGGTCTTGTTTCTTGCTATGCTTGCTGGAACGACTTTCCAGGTGTTGCGTTCCTCCAATGCTTTTAACTCTCTGTCCATGGCTTCACGCCATTTCTCCTTGTGTTCCCCCCCCAAGAGCCTGTTGAACTGTCGCAGGCTCTTTAGGAAGAGAGGAGCCATGGACTGCGGTGACGAGGCCGAGAATCTGCAGTCCGGTCTGTGAGTAGCGGGGGAGTGTTGTGTCCTCGGGATAAGCTGCTTCATCTCCCGCTTCTGGGTCGGGTATGAAATTCGGTCCTACTCTTTCTGCTTCGTTGGTGTTGGCTGTTGCAGGTGTTACGTAACCATTGTCGGCGAAGTGATAGAAGACTTCGGCGTTGGCAATTTCGCGAGGATTTTCTTCGTCCATAGGGACGTTGACGGAGCAGAACGGGAGAGGGCCGGCTTCTTCAGATGCGTTGTCGACGTTCTGCTCGTCCCACTCTGCTTCGTCTGCTGCTGAGGCGAATGCTCGGTCACCACGAAAGCCACATGTGGGGTCCTGATTCTCGTGCAAGTTGGCGAGGTACGTCTGAAGGGTGAGTCGCTCGTAAAAGATCACATCACGTGCTGCTACTGTTTCCTTTGTGTGGACGTCGAAGATTTTCCACGCGTTGTAATTTTTCTCGATGCCGAGGTGTAGTCCCCATTGTGCCCGTTGTGAAAATCTTCCTGCTCGTGCCTCAGGGGATCGGTACTGTACCATGCACCCAAAAACTCGTAACATTTTTGTGCTGCCCTGCTTCCCTGTCCACAGCAGGTGCGGTGATGCGTTGTTCGGGAGTGAGGATGACGACATCAAGTTGTGCAGCATGACAGCGTGGTCCATTGCTGCAGGCCACTAGTGGTTGGGTAGCCGCATGCCACGTAACAGTTTGTGCATGCTGTTCTGCAGAGTCCTGTTCATTCGTTCTGCGACACCTTGCTGCTGATGGGCGTAGGGAAGGGAGAGGAGTTGCTTGATTCCTCTTTCCGCCAGGTACTGCTTGAAGCGCTGAGAGGTGTATTCTCCTCCTCCGTCTGACTGGAAGCTTTTCAGCTGTGCTCCCGACTCTCGTTCTGCTACTGGTAGCCAGGCGGCGAACGCTGCGAGTGCCATGTCGCGGCTTGGTAGGTTTAGATGCCAGACATATCGAGTGGCGGCGTCGATGAAGGTAATCGTATAGTTGTATGTGACTTGTCCTGGTTCGCGATTGTAGAGGATGTCGCTGTACACCTTCTCGAGTGGTGCGTACGCCGGTGCGCTCGGGTTGTGATGAGGAGCGAACGGTCGATGTGGTAAGTCAGCTTCGGGGCAGGTAAGACAAGTCCCTCGTGCCTTTTGAAGTTCTCTGCCGTCGGGTAGTAGTAGGGAGTCTTTGTCGAGAACTCCTGCTCTTATCGTGTTGTTTAAGACTGTGTTGCTTGGATGTCCCAATCGTGCGTGCCAGGTTTCTTCGGAGGCGCGATGTCCGGGTTATCGTCGATACGTGTCGGAGTTGGAGTAGAAGCTGGCGACGAAGTTTGCGCTTTTGTGGGCTTCTCGTGGAGTTGGTTTCAACTGCTGTGCGGGTGTTGGTGGTTCTTCGTCGACGAGGACTGGTGTCGTTGTTCCTGCTGCTGCTGCCGATGTTGTCTCTGCTGCTGTCGTTGTTGTTTCTGCTGCTGCCGATGATGTCTCTGCTGCTGTTGTTGTTGTTTCTGCTGCTGCCGATGATGTCTCTGCTGCTGCCGATGTTGTCTCTGCTGCTGCCGGGTGTTGTATTGTTGCTAATGCGCGTGTTCGTTCTGCTTCAGGGATAGTATGGGAGTACCAGAAGCCTTCTGGGCTGAAGTCTGGATCAAGATCTGGAGGGTGCGTCCAGTCCGTGAAGTTAACAATAGCGTCGCTGTCTGCGGTGCCCAGGTCCGGGACGAAATCCAGGACGAAGACGTTGTTCTTCAGAACTGCCTTCCCGATGTAAAGGCCGCCTTTCCCGTGATATAATTTAAATTCTTGGGTGGTGCTGTTGGCTTACAGGTGGATGCCCTTCGCCATCAACTGGCTGACGCTCAGTAAGTTGTAGCCGAATCCTTCTGCTATTAGTACCTTTGACATGTGTAGTATAACATTAGTCTCCCTGGACTGAAGCTGTACCACTCCTTGTCGT